ATTTTAACTAATTTCTTCCCGGCTCCCTGCAAGGACGACACTTTGCAAAAATGGCCCCTTAAGTTACATGAATTTTTCACACTGACTTTTGATGTTTTTGCAAATTCAAATATGCCTCATACAAAACATAGTGAAAATATTTATTATTTCACTCAGTCGGAAGAAAAATAACGTCTTCTCTAAACTGTTTACCCGATGGAGGGGTTGAATTTGGTTTTAAAAATTTTTCCAATTTTCAAATAACCTTGGACCCGACCTGCTGTTACTCCTGCATTCAGATTTTCCAAAGTGCACGCTGTATAATTTCCGTGTGCGAAAAATCATACATTTATATGCGCTATTACGAGGAAAACATAGAAAATTCGTAAAATTTAGCAGTGAATTTGAGCACTATTTTAAACATTACAAGCAACCATAGTGAATGCATAAGCCCGATATTTCATAAAAGGACATTTCATGGTCCTAAAAAATCTCATGCTTAGAAACTTTTAAAAGCAAATTCGATCCTTTCATCGAGTAGAAAATTTTAAGAAGACGTAATTCTCTTCTAAACGTGTAAACACATGGATATTTTCAAGTGTGTTTGGCATGAAATATAGTTGAATATGCAAGAGCATCGAAAATTGCTGAGAAAATCTCATAATGATTAAGTCATCATTTTTGCAGATATCTGAGAAGAAATTCGTTCAAAAGCTGGCATCCTGAAGTACCTGCAATATCTTCGGATAATGTTGCAAGTTGATTAATATTACAACCATCTTTGAAAAAACTTTTCAAGTTAAAACGTATTTCAGAATTTCGGTAAATATTTCATGAGTTTGCATCTCTACTGTATGTGCGTTTTCGCAGGAGTGATTGGCTGTAAGAAATAAACAATGAGGTACATTAACATAATATGCAATACTGTTTTCGTTCTGCAAAAATGCGTCGAATGGCGGAGTTACTTCGAAATGCACGCGGAAACACATATTCTGGATTTGAAATAGTGGATCTCATTTTCGGCCGTCAGAACACCCCTTCTAGCCATACATCTACGACGTGTCCATCAGAGTATTTTCATCGGAAGCAAGTCGGGTGAGTGGAGGCTAACGACGCTGCAGAACTACCTTTGTTACATCTACTTAAACTACACTTTTTTCGTTTAAGTACGACTTAATCGGATAGGTGCGACAAAAATACCATTTTGGGTTTGCGCGGAACGTGAGAGATCGCTTCTTCTGCATCCCATCTGCACAATCTGCCGCAGAAATGGGCGTAAAAGCATTTAAGAAACGACAGCCAGCATCACTCCTTATCAGCAGATTTGTTTTTGTATGTTAAAAAACAAAATTAATAATGGCGGCGATCGCGGATAAACTTGTAGTATCGCCTTCATCGTGTGCAACAAATTATGCGCCGATGCTAGAGGTCGCGGGCAAAATTTACGAGTCATCCGTGAAGCACGTGGAAGAGATCGCCCTAGCCCATAAAATCTGTGCTGATTACAATACGGAATATGAACCCTCCGTTTTTCGTGTAATTCACACTTGGAACCACTCCCCTCTAACACCACGCGGAGGTAAGCACGCAACGCGATCAATTGACCCACCTGAAGGAGCCTTAAACTGTGATATACGTCGATCAGGTCCTCTTAACCCATAAAATCTGCATTGATTACAACACGGACTATGTGCCCTCGTTTGAGTTGTAAGTCCCAATTAGAACTGCTCCACAGTAAGATCACGCGTAGGCAAGCAGGCCTTGCCGAACCCTGTTGCAACGCAATCAGCTGGCTCACCTGGCGGTGAAAATCTGAACGTAATTCCAAACATCAAGTACGCCCGGCGTGAGTTGGAATATGAGACCAACTCGAACCTGCCGTTGACTCAGCAATACTGTCCAATATAAATGCCGACTGTGTTGGAGGACACGGTTGAAATTCAGGAGTTTATATGGCCAGTCGCATTCTGAAGGAGTAGGGCATCCAAATCTCGTTGAATTGCCTTCATAGCGCGAGGTGAGATGAAAGTGGGCTACACATTCGATCGCAACTGAGAGAACGACGGGGTCGTGGCTCAGTGGTCAGGGTGGTAGACGTCGAACTGACAGGGGGCGTTTCTGAACTCCAGGTTTCGCAATCTCGACAGTGGGACGTGGCTGGCTGGTGAAGGCTAACAAGCCAGGAATTGCCATGCCGGTCCGCCTTGTCCCTGTCGGTAAGTCCCCGCACCAATCTGTATATCTGCTTTTGAGGAGCGGCAAGGGTAGTTAAATATTTTTGAATGTCAGAAGATCTACGAGGAGACGCAGAGATTTCCAGCTTCTTAGAGTGTTCGCACGACTAAGAGTGCTTGGTGGGGGCTTTTAGCGAACGGCATGTCATGGCGTGATTTAACCTGTTCAGGTACCCTTTTTCGATGCCTTTACCGCGGTGGTGCAGAAGACAAATAATTTTTTGTCAGTTACATGCGCAGACAGTCAACATCTAGGAGCGGCATTTGACGGTCACATGCAATATCTGAAAGGCGATGAAATCACGTGTTCTCACTTTTTTGCGTGACGACAGTTTTTTGTCGCCTAGTGGGTTAAGGCGGGGGGGGCTGTTGTCGTCATTAAGACGCCTTATCATGAACAGTAGACCTTGTTTACGTGAGTTGAACTGGTATCAAGACTATCGTCAAATTCAAACTAAAAGGAAAATATCGTATGACGAAAACCCCTACTTGAGTTCTTTCCTGGGTGTTTTCACTCAGCATTAGCTCAGTAATTTCCAGAAACACCAGATATATGTAGCACACCAACCTGCTACTACCATGCGTACACAGCTTGCACGTCCTAAGGATATGGCTTGCTATTTTGACAGAAATGATCTTGCCTGCAAAATTCCATGTGCCGCTTTTGATGCCGTCTATTGTGCCCAAACTTGGAAATCTGTCTCAACCCGTGCACATGAGCATCGGTTAATGGCAAAGAGATGTGGCCATCTATGCACAAATTTGCGTGGAGTAACTGTTGGCGCCTGTTTATTAGGATAGACGGCGAATTCCTGGAAGCATCGCACTCAGATGAGGTATGCACCAATCGCATATCAATTTAGATGTCACGTACAAAGTTCTCAGACAAAAATGGAAGCGAGCGCAGCCAATGAGAGGGGATAATGACGGTCGAGTAAAGGACCCTATACCCAAAGAGCAGCAAACCAGTGTCATCTATAAACGAGCATAAGCTAGCCATCCACCGACGTGACCCTTTGTCACTCGTGTTCGTACACGCCCTTGAACGCGATCATCGCTTCAATGGGGAAGGAACTGAAGTTGTTGCCACAGAAAACACCAAACAGGCCCGATAATTCCGCGAAGCCTGGGACTCTAACACGACCAGCAGCAATCGCCATGTCGATCTGGATGCTCATTACGAAGGTCTGCGTGCCCCGCTCACTGACTTGCGCCCACGACCTAACAACAACCGCTAAACAGCACTGGGCCACGTATAATCGCAAAAATTTCGTCATCCCCTACCCCAGACAAAGCGAACCGCACCTGTAATCCCTAACACCTCTACGTTGGCTCACGGACCTGCGCCCGCATGTCAGATCGACGACCATTAAGTCCACTGTTCGCAGTCCCTTTGAATCATCATCCCCCTACCCATCAACAGGGAGCCGCAACAGTTCCCCCTTCCCTCCCCCGCCACAGATCCTAGCCTAATTATGTGTCCACCCGCATTTCATACATTAGTTGCTTGCCTGTCGGTGGCTGGCCTGTCACGTCAACCAATTTTGTTTGACCATTTCACTTTCTCCTCTGTTTATTTCGTCTGACGATGGGTTGGTGTCACCAGCTTGAAAATCCACGAGTATAACTCAATTTTTCCGACGAGCCTTCTCTCTTTATCATATTATCTCGGAATGCACACAACCTCAACTATTCAATATATATATATATATATATATATATATATATTAAATCAGCAAATGGCGCACACCGACCCATCGACTTTCCGAAACAAACAGAAATGGTATGGGTGGCGGAGATGATGAATTGTCAACAACCGACCACGTCGAAGTCGATCAAGCCATGACAGCGGATTGCAAACACTAGGAATATATTGACAATCATATGATTCGGATTTATAAATATAAGCGTGGCACATCCAATCGAATGCTGCATTGATATTAAGTTCGTTTTTCAATCAAATCCACTTTGTCCAGTCTGTCAAGAGCTTATACACCAACTTTTAGCAACCCACGCATGCGTATGACACCGCATAACGTTCCGCCTCTGACGACGCCGACTCAGCCAGGAGTTGGTTAGTCGTACTTGCCTCTGGATATTCCCCCAAATTAAATGCAGCAATTCAGGTATATCTGTTATTCTTCTTCCTGACCTCTGCAGAACCTCGTATATCAAATGCCCGTTAGGCAAGATTTGCAAATTCTGTAGCGCGCCCAATGCCCCCATTACTACCTCATTTCATCGATTTGTCGATGACCACATTTTCCATAGGGCTCCACCGTGACGAGGTTTTTGACAATTTCAAACCCTCAAAAACCTAGTCTGCTGTGGCTCAAAGCGCCTTCATGACGATCGACTTACTCTCTAGGCGTGCAAAAAAAAGTTTTTCCCTCGACTATCGGGTTAGTCTTTTTTAAGTGTTGTTTTTCTTGATTGGTTGGTTAACGCTTGCAGTCCAGTGGTCGTCCTCAAGGTCAACAACAAAGTGAGTAGTTCTGATTGCTCGGCGCTAGCGATTGCAGACAAGGTCGCTGTCTATGGGGTTTCGGAGACGTTCACTCAGGGTGAAGCAGATGCCTTGACCATCCGGTAAGAATGGGCGGCCCTTCGGGAGGGCGGTGATACAACCATGATCGGGGGTGCAAATTGACTTGACAAGACATCCTGATTGGACAGAAATTACGTGTGACAAAATATGAATTCCCGAGCACAAATCACAAAAGTGACCAGCAGTAGGCGTGTAAAGTCAAGGCAGTAACAAGGGAGGCGATGTACTGGCAAGAGCGACTAGAACTTGGAGCTCATTCGGTCGAAGGCTGAATACGGCAGGCGAATAAATTCGGGCATAACGCGGGCGAGACGGTTGCGGCCGGTGGCCTCCAAAAGAAAGGGCACTGAGCGCAGGCTGGTGGGTCGTTTGCCGTCAATGTCGCGGATACCCATCTCCAGTGCGGTGTCGGCAACAAAGAGCACACGACCGGATCGCGACAGCAGCCGCTTCTTCGGTTCGGCGAGCAGGTGCGCGACAACAAAACCGGTCAGCTCGGGCGATTCGCCTAAGAACAGAAAGCGGCGGTAGGGGGTGAGGAATGAGAGGAGGTTGTCACAAACATCGTGCTAGGAATCTCAAAAGAGTGTTTCCCCGCGTTGCGTCTGCGCATTACTTCCTGATCCAGGTCGGAATGTTGTCATATGAACGAAAAAACGTCAAGAAACAGGCCATAAATGGAGAAGAAGAAGGAGGAGGAGGTGGAGGAGGAGGAGGAGGAGGAGGAGGAGGAGGAGGAGGAGGAAAAGACGCAATTCATTGTTTAGTTACTCGATAGGGGGCAGATTAGTATCCAAATCCGTTCAGTATTCCCAGCACAGTCAATCCCAGCTCGAGTCTCATGCCTATCTCGTACAGACGGGGGATTGACACTTGAACAGCCAACGATCAAATCATTCTGATCTGTCACCCACGGTATCTAATATTCTCGACGTATTTTGTTGGGAACGACGCGTATGAGGGGATCTTCAAATCGCTGACAGACGTTTTGTAACCAAACGTGGCCTAGAAGATGGCCAACCGACTGAATAACGCGGTCCTTCCATGGACCGAGGGTCAGGCTGCAATGGCTCATTCTCAATGTGACCTTTATGCCACTCTCACCGGTGTGGGGTCCAGACTAGACTTAGAGAAATTCCGCTACACGTCTCGATGAACAGGTCGTGTGAGGTACGCGTAGAATGGTTGGTTAGCTCTGTCAGCCACTGAGCGCGGGTATGCATCCGGTCATCTTGGCTCTGTCCTGTCCTCGGAGCATGGTAGATGAGTGAGGAGAAAGTGGTGTAGGTGCTGTGAAATCCTGCTTGAGTAAACACAAATTCACCAGCAAGTCAATCCCTGCGCACACCTCGCGGGATAGCTGTGTATGTCGTCGTATGCGGGGCTCAAACTCTAACCGTCGCTCCAGGCCAATAGGTGAGCCACGGGACGTCGTCCTATCAGCCAAATTCGGCAACATGAAGAAGAACACTCGAATTCGATTCACTGATTTTGGAGTGCAATGTAACAGATAGAGTCCTGTGATCAACATGTGTCCGTAGAGTCCACGATGACTGTCGAATGTGGGTGTTTTAAATCCTGGGTCTTTCTTTCGACCTCCAGCAGCCTCATCCGACAATTACAGACGGAGAGTTAAAAGAAAGCCTCGTAGACGATAATGGATACTAAGGATACGCCCGAAGGCATTTTAAACTGACGATTGGCAGCAGCCAGTTGTGTGGACCCATCAAACAACCTCGCGAGCCCCCTCCAGGCACGAACTTACTAGGGGTTCGTAAAACTGGCCCAATGGCTGCAGAGAAGTTCGAATACCCGCTCACGATGTAAGCGGCGGGAAGTGGAATGCGAGCATTCAGTTGAGGCGTTCAAAATTAAATTTAACACCACGTTACTGCCTATAGGGCGTCCTCACTCAAACTACACATAGGGAGACAGCCCACATCCGTCTTCGTTAGTTCACGAATATCTTTGTGTGGTCCTTTATCCGATTGAAACCGTGTTCAAAATAGAGGTTTTGTAAGATTAAGGTCGAGAAAGACAGTTAAGTTAGTGATCTGAAGAGGTATACTGACAAAGACAGGAAGATTCAGATGGATGCTTTATGTTTTGACAACAGGACCCAGTCGCCAGACCATCCTTTGCGAATGATTTATTCTGCATTTTCCCGCTTTATAGATTGTGCATGCAAAGGTAATTGTCAAGTACGCGTAACGTCGGAGTTTTTCGTAAGTAGTATGGTCATGTCGGGTAACAGGCCAGTGGCGGTCACTGACTCCACTGTGACCGGAGGGCGTACCGGAGTGGCCTTGAGTGTGTACAATCGCAGAGGACATGTCATGAGCCAATAACTAACCGGCGGGGGTTGCTTTAGTGTTTAAATAGGCAGGTTCGAGCGCTGGGTCTCTGCAGCCTCGGTATTGGGCCTGGATGGCGGATGGTGGAAAACAAGTCCCCAATAAAAAAACACTATTACCACAAGTCTCTGTAAGCAAAAACTATCGTCAAATAATTCTGTCAGCTAGGACCTTCGATGCTGCTGAAAAGCTTGTGAACAATGTGGGCTATAGAAGCGAAGAGACGAGTCCGAGGAAGTAGTCTTGAAGAAGGAGACACGATCGCCGGAACAAGAGCTTTATTAGCCTGACGTTTCGGATTCCTGCTCGAAGTCATCATCAGAGACAACAGCAGATACGGGTGATTCACACACAGGGGGCTTCAGTATTTATAGGATGCAGTCGCATGCTACCGCATACCTATGAACATTCGCAGCTCCCCTTTCATCCAGGATCAACGCACTTGGTGTGTTAATTGTTTGATGGCCGACATTCGCGTAGTTAATTGCTGCAAATTCATCACGTGCTATAAACGTCTGGAGTGGTTTATCGAATCTGGTGCAGTTGCGGACAAATAACTACCTCGGAGAAACCGGAAGACAGCTCCGAACGAGAGTGGTCGAACACGCTGCAGCGGTGCGGAGAAATGACGCCAGTTCTCAAGTTGCGCTCATTCGACGAGTTTCGGCCACGCATTCAAATTTGACGAGGCCGAAATTCTCGCAAGAGGGGACAACCGCGTAAACCGGGAGCTACTTGAATCGTGGTATACTGTCTCCCAGTCCCTTAACAAGTGCAATGAACTTTCCCTTCCATACTCCGTGGTGAGACTTCGCCTAGGCGGAGTAATAAGCCACGCCGGGAGCGCACATGTGAACACTTGTATTAACACCAGGGTCGGTGCGTCAGATGGTAGAACAATTATCACACTAACATTCAACGCGCGTGATGAAATTGCGGCAGTTAACTACGCGAATGTCGGCCATAAAAAAATTAGCACATCACGTGCGATGATACCTGATGAATGGCGAGGGAACCGTGAATGTTCATAGGTATGCGGTAGCATGCGACTGCATTCTATAAATACCGAATCCCCTTGTGCGTGAGTCACCCGTATCTGCTGTTGTCTCTGATGATGGATTCGAGCAGGAATCCGAAACGTCAGGCTAATAAAACTCTTGTCCAAGCGATCGTGTCTCCTTCAATGTGGGCTGTCTTACATATTCAGAAGAAAAGGTGGCAAGCGAACGTTGATTTCGATAATTTCTTGTCAAGCCAGTACAGTTATTTGGGACGGGGTACAGTGAGTGCAAAAAAAATCGATAAAAGTTAGTTTTAAAATACAGGCTAGGCAGGAGCGTAAGGGCGCAGAAAGTTGTATGTGGTTAGCCAACCCTTGACAACGGTAAGCGCGGAGCCTGAACGAGGTTCTTCTGGGTGCATAGGGTCGGTTTTCGTGACCTGATGGCGGCCGCTTCTGTTGTTGCTAACAGGCGCTGGCCCAGTAGCTTAGAGTGACTCGAGAGGACCTGATAAATCACATGAAATGCTTCAGCGGCATTCACACGATGCCCTGAATCCACAGCATGCGCAAGGATGGCGCTGTCTATTCTCTAAGTTTCACTTTTTGCCAACCATGCGGGAAGGTGCTATCGTATTCTTTTATAAAGACGCCGACTCGTACGACCAATATTTTACATATTTTCTAAGTTTCGATTAAGCTGGTTTCTGATGAAAACGGGAATACTAATTAGACAGGGACATAGTACTATCCACCGCTAACCTCCAATTGACAGAAAAGATGGCGAAGATTTCCGAAGGCTATGGCGATGGCTTTAAGCATAGCAGTAGGTAAAGAAGAACCATTCATGGCTCTCGAACAGCAGTATGCAAAGGAGAGATAAGGGACACTTACCTCGTTTTTCTAAGGTAGTAGATCCAAAACCGCGCTTCTCCGCAGTCTGGACCATGTGCTCTGTTTTGACAATGCCAGGCCAGAGAGAAATTACTGCAATATTTTTCTTTTTTTCACGAAGTTCGTGAGCCATATCGGCAGCCATGCGATCCAAAGCAGCCTTGCCTGATGGAATAGAAAAGGGCCATATTTCAACAGCAGATGCTGGTAAATTGCCGTTATAATTGGGTTTCCAGCGGTATAGTTAAAAAGATGAAGGAGAGATAGAAGTATCCGTTATCTTGGGTTAAATTATGCCACACTCAAACCAGAACAACAGCCCTGACGAGAAGCATAAGTTAAAAGGTTGCAAACTACTACTACAACCTCTGTCTCCCGAGGCAGTGTGAAGTTTTTCAAGGTTGAAGTGGATTTGGGCTGCATCTACCTTGTAGCGGTCGAAGACGTGGAGGTTGGCACATACAAACGGTCAAATAATCCATCTAAGGTAGCTTCTCGGTTATGCAACATTGACAGGGCTGTTAAACACCACATCAAACATGCGAATACGGATGAAGAGGAAAGGGCTCTGTAATAGATGGAACTCATTTTATGATAATAAACGTTAGAGTAGAAGATTGTAGAAGGTCAGGAATACAAGAAAATGGTGAGATGCTGTACAGATGATCCGCTTGGAGGGCGAGATGGTCACGCCATATCAGTTAGACACCAGTGGGGAATGCAGGAACTGAAGATAAAGGACCGGGAGTGAGCTTACGGAAAGGGAAATTCGATGCGGTCGGATGGCGGAAGCGAGGGAGACGAAGTCAGCGTTAGGGAGGGAAGGAAAACTGGCCATCTTCGCTGATAGACGATTACATCGAATCCATCCGGGATCCGCGCCAAAAGTGACCTGACTTCTTTCAAACAAGCCTGTGAAACTCGTAGTGCGTTACAACCTCAATCTGCCCTCCCGCGTCCACGTTGCTTTGAGGGCAGGACAGATTCGAGACGATCGGGGTGGACATGTCTTGATGGCTACAGTAGTTGAACATTTCGTCCACACGTTCCTAGCTCCTAAGTGCCAAGCTACGTAAATGAGTTGTGCACACTTTCTCCCATACGGCAGTTTGGCCGTCGAACGGGTACCGGTAAATGCAATCGAATGCAGGATCTAAGGGCAATGTGGGATGCCTTCGCCAGACAGTCGCACACACCAACACCGCCCGCGATCAGAAAAAAACTCGAAATACCAGGTCCACTACACAGACGCCTTAATCGAGTTATCAAGAAAATTATCGGAACCGCGCTACATCAAACAGTTTTTCCAGATCTTCAGACGCCGTAAGATTACAGAAGTGCACAGATTCGATACATAGCCGAGCTAGTAAGCTCACTCCAGAGGCTGCAGATCGACGGCCTATTCGACGGAACCAGTACATCCCGTCCACGCCACAACCATGTCCCGAGGCTCGCACACGACCTGATTCCTAGCTCCTCAAGTGCCAAGCTACGTATATGAAGTAGGCAAACAGGGCAGTATTTAATGGTTCCAAAAAATTCCGCTACGGTTCGTCAGACGCGTCCTGTCGCTTCATAACATTGATAGCGAGTGAGAAGAATACAACAGGTTTGCATTCGTTTAGAAAATCTATGCAGAAACAGCAAGGTCATGGTTTTGGGTAAAACTGGCTAATCGGTAAAGTTAGTAACTAAAACACCGTATGGTAAAAATCGTGGAATAAATGTGTTAACGAGCAAAAAGAGGGTTAAGTGAAAATCATGAAGTGAGAGGCTACCATGGCAAGGTTAGACCAATCACGTGTTCCGACTGTTTACAAAGATCTGTTTTCACCCGCCGAACTCGCATTATGCAGCCCTACTAAGCCTCTTCCAATTCCACGGACGAAGGACGTCTCACCAGTATTCGCCACTTCAAATTGTGTTTATAAATTTACATGCACTTGCGGATAAAAGTACATTGGGCGAATGCAAAGGCAGTTGGCAGCCAGGTCTATTGAGCATCTTCCCGAATGGCTCCTAAAGCAAGAAAACACAATCCCGCGTTCCTCCATTACAAAACACCTGCTTGACAGTGGTCACTCCGTCGACCTTAAAACTTCCTTCTGGGTACTTGTTCGGGCACGAACAACTCGGAGGCGGCCTATATACGGCCGGTGAAACCAGATCTTTGTAAGCAGTTGGAACACGTGATTAGCCTAACCTTGCCATGGTAGCCCCTAGCTCCATGATTTTCACTACCCCCTTTCTTTTGCTCATTAACGCCTTTTTCCACTATTCTTACCATACGGTGTTTGAGTTACTAACTTTATCGATTAGTCAGATGTACCCAAAACCATGACCTTGTCGTTTCTGCACGAATGCAAATCTGTTGTATTCTTCTCACTCGTTATTTATCTTATGAAGCGAAAGGATGCAGCCGACGAACCTTCGCGAAATTTTTTGGTGCCATTAAATCCTGCCCTGTTTGCCGGCTTCAGCTTCGTACAGGGGACAAAATGCTTCACATTTGTAAAACTACGTAAATGAGTTGCGGACATTTTCACATACGGCGGTTTGTCCGCCAAACAATCGCATGCCGGTGAGACGCTTTCGCCAGACAGTCGCACATACCAACACCACCTGCGACCAGAAAAACTTAAAAAACCCAGGCCTACTACACAGGCGATCTAGTCGATTTATCAAGAATACTATCGGAACCGCGCTGCATCAAACAGTCTTTCCAGATCTTTAGACACCTTAGGATTGTAGATGCGAAGTGATTTAAAACATAGCCGAGCCAGTAAGCTCACTCCAGTGGTTAGAGATCGAAGGCCTATTCAACGGAACCTCTGCATCCGGTCCTCACCAAAACCATGTCCCGAGGCTCGAAATTTGTCCCATTCTCGAGCCGACGGTTGATAGTTGCAGACGGACAGACAGCAAGCAGCAGCATGAGATTTGGTAAAAAGAAAAGCTGCTAACAATTCCCCGCCACGTACGAGGGCAGCAAAAAGTGCTAGAGGCCAAATAGTTTCCCCTGCACGAGGACAGTTTACGCACACCTCATGGAAAGCTTGAAATGAAAGAGACCAGGCCTACCCACACCGTAGGTGACGCTGAAGAGATACTTCAGACCGCCGAAGGAGGAGATGTTGATGATAAGGCCTGGACGTTGATTGTCGTCGCCGTCGCTCAGCAGAGAATGCTTTCCATCGCCGCTGGGTTCCTCATCACTATCGTTATTCTCAGCAGTCAGCTCGCCGCGATACTCCAGCATCATCCGTGTGGCCAGAGTGGCGCAGATATAGTGGTTTCGCAGGCCCACCCTGTTCACGATGTCCCAGGCTGTTGCGGCCGAGTCATCTGCCTTCAGCTCCCAGTAACCCATACCCAGGTGGGCGGAAGTGTAGCCGACTGCTGCGTAGGCGTTGTTCACGAGGAGATCCAGACGGCCACTCTGTTCGCGACGAATGCGCGCAAAGAGGTCCACCACCTGGGCGTCATCTGAGTGGTCGACGACTACGGGGATAGCCACCTGGAAGGAGAGACGATGATTGCTTGTTGATTGCCAAGAGAACGTAAGCTGCAAAAATGTCGGTTAGACACTTAACGTTGTTTCTCGTGCGCAAGATATACCGGTGTCGGAGGCATCCGGTGTAATACGCCGAGAATAGCCGCGTTAAAAGGAAGGCCACGCATGATTTTGGACAAATTCCTGCAACCCAGAATGCTTGTATTTCTGAAAACCCTTCTCATCTACCTGCGACAACTGTTACTCCAAAAGATACTAGTCATTTGAAATTCTCCGCGTAACGTAGACGTGCTGTCTCATTCAATGTTAGTCGAAATTCTGAAATATTTTTTCGACTCTAACAGGTTGCCTAAGCAGGAGCTGTAATGTCAATTATCGTGTGGTAGAACCGTAAGATGGTTCTGTCATGCCAGAACGCCAGCTTTTTAATGAGATTTCCTCTGGTAGTCTGCCCAAATTACAGAGCAAAAAACAACTACTTAAGACGTACGAATTTTTGCATTGATTTTCGATGGCGTTATAAGTTCAAATATGCCATATATAAAACATGCGTATAAATATTCTCCCTTGTATTCATTTGGTAGCAAATTAGGCCTTCTCCAAATATGTTACTTGAAGAGAGAGCATCTTTTGGCTTTAAAAACTTTGCGATGCCCGAGAAAATTTGTGCGGCAGCCGCCGCTACTCTTGCATGCCGGGTTTTCAAACTACATGATATACAGTAGGTGGGCTAACTCATGAAATGTCAACCGACATTATGAAGTGCGGTTTCTGTTCGATAAGATTAATTAGGCAGGGTTGTAAAACTAGTCAGCCTGCAACATAATTTTTTAATATTTCAGTTATCTCAGGATGAAAGCTTTCGACAGAACTTCCTTCCGGCTTCATGCAAAAACTACACTCTGTAAAAAGTGACTACTTATGTAGCATGAATTTTTCCCTCTCATTTTCGATGCCACTAAATGTCCAATTATATTTCAAGGAAAACCTAGATAAAATACTCTTTCTTTTGCTTATGCGACAGAAACTTGCATCTTCTTCCAATTTTATGTCCGAAGGAGGAACATAATCCGGTTTTAAAAAGTTTCTAATTGTGGGACTTTAAAATGCCGCGAAATGGCCGTTCATAAATCATCGTGTATCTGTGTTTACCAATGTGGCTTGTAAAGTTAACAATATGGATCAAATCCGCTGCTAAAGTTTATGAACCCTATATGGTTCCCCTTTATTACCGTAGAGAAATGTGTGTTTTCCCGTACGCGAAAAATGTACGGCTTGTAGTTTGGAAACCTTGTATCCAAGTGCAACGGTAAAGCGGGTTCAAAATTATTCGGGAATCAGAAAGGTTTTTGGAAACCGAGTTACACACTTCCTTCGAGTATAAAATTCGAAGAAGACGTAATTGCCTACCGAATGAGCAAAAGAATAAATATTTTTGTGCATGTTTTCCATGAAGTATAATTGGTCACTGAGGGGCATCGAAAGTAAATGAGAAAAATTCTTGCCACTAAGGTAGTCGTTTTTTACCGAGTGTAGGTTTCGCATGCAGCCGAAAGGATGTTCATTGGAAAGCTATTATCCTGAGGTAACCGAAATATTATAAAATTATGTTACAGGCTGACTAGTTTTACAGCCCTACTTAATTAATCTTTTTGAACCGAAAACGCATTTCGGAATTTCGGTTGACATTTCATGAGATACCCAACCTGTTGTATGCATCCCGTCAAAGGACTATGGCATGTTTCTCTAGGCTTTTAGGAAGACGTTGAATAGAGCTCATAAAATTTTGCAATGGATGGGGATCAGGTTGTCTAGTTTATAAGTAACACTACTAACCGTGTTGATGCGGTGCTCCATGATCACAAACTTTTAGCACCAACAGATGCTCTATCTATAAATAGAAAATTTTGAGAAGACGTAATTTGCTGCGAAATAATTAAAAAAGGAAAACTTTTGTTCACGTCTTTTATAAATTTAGTAAATTTATTAAAAACTCCAGAATTTACAAAGGCAACGAAAGTCAATAGGACACATTCCCACTACCCAAGTAATCATTATTTTGCTCTGTAGTTTTTGCATGCGATCGAAGAAAACCTCATTCAAAAGCTGACATCCTGGCGTGACTGAAATAACTCGCGACAGTGCTGCGCGATAATTAATATTGCAGCCTCACTTGAGTACTTTTAGGATCGAAAATATACTTCAGAATTCCGACTAACATTTCATGAGATAGCACATATAATGTCGTTAATTTTCCGACATGAAAAGAAGTCACTTTCTTATGGCTGACTTGAGAAGTAATATTTTTTACCCTAAATCCTGCCTAAATGCCCAGTTTGGTATGCAGACATACAGTGAGTGACCGATCTCATGACATTTTGGCGAAAATTCTGGAATATGCTTCCATTAGGAAGGATTACTTAGATGGGGCTGTAATATTGATTATCCCGCGGCATAATCCTATAGTACTTCGGATTCGGCAGGATGTTGGCTTTTGAATGCACATCTTTTCAATCCCCCATGGAAACCGTACTCGGTAGAAAGTGGCTATTTAACTAGCACGCATTTTTCGCACTGATTTTCGATGGTCTTGTGTATTCAAACATATTTTATGAAAAACATGAACTAAAATATTCTTTCTTTCACATATTTGATAGCGAATTACTTTTCTTCATATTTTATACTCGAAGAAACTTTTTTAAAATCTAATCATACTTTAATTATAAAATGTTTAAAGACCGTGCAGTGTCCATTCATACAGCATCGTACCTTTCCGTTTATCACTGCTCCTCATGAAATGTACAACGTAGTCCGCATCCATTGCATAATTTTATGGACTTAATGTAGCATCTTTTTAAGTGCATAGAAGAATATCGGATTTTCATTACGCGGACGCATGCATCTTGTAAACTGAAGTCACTAGGTGCTAATGCAACAACAGTTAATTTCTTACCTGTGACTAACAAATAATTCTAAGATTCTAAGATAGTCTGACGACGAGCTGAGGGACCAGCCTCGAAAATTAACACAATACAACTTGCAGTTTCCCAAAGAGTTTCATCTTCCTAATTAGATTTCTCGGGATACCCGCTTTTCAAGTCATATATATATATATACTTCCGTTTCGGCAGGCAATGGCATAATCAGCAAAACCAGCTACTGGAGTATCCAGGCACGCCCTGGCGTGCTTGGCGATTTTATATAGAAGTTAGTTAGGTGTTTTTAAATAGCTCAGGTGATGGCATCCCGATCATTTACTCGAGAAACTGTGAGAAGCGAGTCCGGTCCTCGGATAGATTTTCAAACGGATATTATGCAGAAAACGACTTCTGTTCATCTACAGGAAAGCTCAAGACCTACGTCTTAATTAACTGAAGGTTGAACTGATTATCGAGCCTTGCCATTTCGTGCCGAAACAGAGAGGAAAAAGCTGAACGACTACAACAGAGGGAAAATCGGATGAGGGCAAGTGAGGAAACAAGCGCACCCCACCGCGCGATGTGACTTCCGCGGCCGTCTCCTCCAGACTTCCGCCCACATCGCCCTCCTTGACATCACCCTTGGGCTTGAGTGTGCGTCCAGTGATGTATACAGTGGCACCGCACTCACCCAAAGCAAGTGCGATGCCGCGGCCGACCCCGCGACTGGCACCCGTCACCAGACAGACGTATCCCTTGAGATCGGGTAATTTGTTGCCGCCCATGAAGAAGTCCAGTAAGGGCAAAAAACCTACGATGAAAGAGAATACAACTATCAACGCAGTTACTCTAGTTGCCATTGAACTCCAATAAAGGCGAGGAGAGCATTTAGGTGCATTGATCGCTCCTGGACTATTCTGTAACCATCTGGATTGTCGTTCAAACCAGATGCGTCAAGGTTCGTAAAGTTTAGTTTAACCACTATTTCTTGTTTATTGGGGAAACGCAGTAGCTAGATAATCAATGAAATAAGCTACTATATTATCCAATATAACTGCAAGCGAAAAAGCGGCCTAAGATAGAAGAATTACGAAGTTTTGTTGCTGCTTATGATGATGATGATGATGATGATGGTGGTGGTGGTGGTGGTGGTGGTGGTGGTGGTGGTAAAGGTGATAAAAAGGAGGAGGAGGAGGAGGAGGAGGAGGGTACGTATGTACGAAAAAATCAAGATCTTGCCTCAATTAAGGTGGCTGCTATCGATTCCGAGAGAAGATCAGGGGAACAATTGTGCCTAACAAAGAGGCTGGAAAAATCAAGCAACAAGGGTCGCACCTGTGCCCTTTATTGACTGTCTTAGTTAGTAGGCTCCAATGGTAATTCCGTCTTAGTTTCATACGATTCAGTTGTCTCCTACTGCTGAAGCACAGTAGCCGGGTGGTCAATTTCCCAATTACTGTACAATAGATAATTGCTGCCACTGAGATGCAACCCAATATAAAAGAATGTTTTATAATTGTGAGATAGTAATTAAATTATTTACAAAAATGTATGTGGAAGGACTTTCAGGAAAAATGTTTAGATTATGATTTTTGTCTGTATTTTCACGTTCTGCAGGTAGTTACTGGCTTATTACGTGCAAGTATGTAAACGATCTCGTTTTCAACGCTCTCTTTTAGTATGTGCGTTGATAAATTTTACATAATTAATTTTGACCCAATTGTGGAAAACACCGCGACATCTGTGGGATACGAACCAACGAGAGTAAGAGGAAGGCCCGAGTACAGTCAACATTCTAGTCCCCGAAGTACGAAGCTCCAGCGGACACAGTACAAGGAAGAATCCACAAGGCGACTTCCAGGCTTATTTAATGTCAGGTGTTTTTGCAGATTTTTAAAAAAATTATTATAAGCAAATTGTGTCGTTTGTTAAAGTCCCACCGAAGTCACCGCGTTTTTCACAGTTGAGCCCCAATAAGCGTTCTTTATGCAGCAATGTATTTTTCCTCGATTACTTCTAAACACTTGGAAGTTCAACGGCGTTTGCCCTCCTTTCTTCTGGTTCAACTTGACTGCGTAATTAGCACTGGGCCCAATTGGGAAAAATTAAGTTTGCGGCGGACTCATTACAAATGAAATGTGCTTATATAGCCCAGAGTCACGAACGCGCAAAGTCCATTACGTCGCTAAGGCGCAAAATTTCGGTCAATACCTCTTCATTTTGTTGGCGAAACCAAAAGGGAAAAGTACTGTTGGACGTTCACGATGTCAGAGAGAATTATCAATCTGAACAATGAAAACGCAATAGAAAGCCTGAAAATTTGGAATGATGTAGCCGGAGTCCCATACCGGTTTATGCTGGTGAATAAATTCTAGAAGTCGTGGGCGTATGCGAATTTCATCGGAAGGAACGAGGTTACCAGCCTACGTCCTGACTGCAACAGGTTTGTGAATGACAGGTGCCGAGCGACGTGTATGCGCAAAAAAGCAGTATCAGGTGACGTAAATTGTGCGCCTTAGTCTTGTAGTACGTGTACAGATTTGTTGCAGCTGAACAAAGCAGTAGTGTGACTCCTGTTCGTAGATGGGAGTTTCGAAATCAGAAGTGAACCACAAAAATCCGATGGAACAGGTTGCGAAGCATGACCGTATTGGTTGCCTCTCTTCAAGCAAGAGTTTATTTGACTAGCGGACCAAATCAAGCACCACCAACATCTGGAATTCGACATTTAGATAACGGGCGGCAGGCATCAGGCCAATCACCGAACAATCTAGCTGTTATTAGTACTGCCGCAGTTAACCACAACACTACCGGCATACCGGCGCTATATTTTTTCCAAAATTTAGTGCTTGGAAGGTGTGAACAGAATACTGACGGTCGTCAAGTAAGTAGACGGTAAAATTAAAGAAAAATTGTTCAATGTGCCTATTGACAATAATAACGTTACAAGCAAGACCCCTGCGCCATTCCACATCAAGTTATGACGGGCGTCGACATGTTTGATGCTACTTTTAAAAAAGCAAACTTCTGCAAGGAAACTGCCCACATATGTTGAATTGACGAAATACCTACAAAGGTGGTTTTCCTACATCAGATCAACGATTGCATTACGAGCAATGATGACCGAAGATTTTGTTGTAACTGCAACTTTGTAAACAAAGAGTGCAACGTAGTTCTTCGCGATGTCGACATAAAAATTAGTCGTCGAAGTACTCGCCTTAATTAGATAACTTCTCAAAACGTATTTCGTGTGAGGTACAAAAAAGAAATCACAATCTAGCTAATTTATTCAGTTCGGTGCGACCAGAATTAAATGTGTTTCTAGTGTTTTAATACTTTGTAAAACCACGCCGATGAGGGAAGTATGTTTATCAAACTGTGGTTGTTTCTAAAGGTAGTGGTTTGTGTACTACAGGTAACAACCAAACAAGCTTCAAAGGTTTCATAGCGGTATGAAATAATCGGCCCGGTCGCATTGCTGTGATGTGGAATATATTTCTAATGGTAACTTTCGTTAGATCAAAATGTTTCCCCATCGCTGGTCCACTCAAAGAAAAATAGCTGAGATTTTATTTTCATTTCAAGGACTCCAACCAAAGACCACTGGCAGAGTGGTAAACCACACTGCGCAGCGAACCCAACATACGCGAACTCGCCGCGAGCTGGCTTGCTAGTAGGGTAGTAGAGGATCTGCAGGCCGACTATCAAAAGCCGGTTTAATTTGCCACCTCAACGTCACACTCATGTAGAAAGATCTTTGTTACATTTCATCTCACGTTAGTATATCGGTTTTGTGTGATTGCAGGCAACTCAATATGTTTCAAGCGTCTGCCAAAGAAACTCCGACGGCAAAGGATGTAGTACGTACAGCATCATAAGTACTTATGATGCCGACTTCTGGAAACAAGGCAACATATCGTTGGCGTTATTGGTTGATTCCTTATGCATGCTGCAACTAATTTTTAAAAATATTTGTAACTGTGGTTGGAGAGCAAAAACCCAGTGAATGCATTAACTGCAGCGTATGTATCTCGAAACAAAGTTAACATAGCACCCCTGTCAGCACATGTCCCCTTCACAGGTTGGGGTGCGAAGGGGGCTGAGTGGGACGTAGCCACTCTTGACTGGAGAATTTTGAAGCGTGTCTGCATCAAATGTTATGTCTTTAAAGAACCACCCAGTGTATCTTCTTTGGCACTAAAAGGATCTAATTGATCCAGTGTACCGTAAGGTACCTGCTGGTTTCGTAGACTTCCGGACATTCTTCTAATAGATAAGGCACAGATACGTTGTTCGTAATTTCGGGACAATAAACTGGAATTTTGAGACTACCAGCCGACATCTATTGGGCTTCAGAAAGAGAACTCTTTCTGGCCATAGCCCTTTCTGGGCCCGGGTGTTTGACGGGGCCGGATAGGTTGGTGCTAGCAGGGGTCATAATGATAGGTTGATAGACAGAAAGATTCCATTTCATGGAAGTTGTATAGATCCCCACAATCCATATCTATTTCGTCCCCTGACTCAGCAAAAATAAGATATACGTAACCGCAAAACGTGCGTGTCATGCAAACTTAACTTTGCATTTAATTAAATTGTAAAAAATCGAACAATAAATTCCAAGGATGAACACAAAAGGAAACCTCTGTGCATCTAGATCACAAGAGTTCATCACAAGAACGTTGCTGTCGATCTTAATTAAGTCTTCCTTCACACATACACATTCACTATGTGGATCCACTTGGCGACAGTCGTAGGGTCTGCGTTTATTTAAAAATGTATACCTTAACCCATGACCAAGACTGTAGCTGTAAGTTCCATTTTCCACGATCCGGTTAATGTACCAGGTTATAACACGAGTTATTAAACCTGTCAAAATTACTTTGTAAATATGTGTCCGGCAAAAGTTGAAATGTAACTCGTGTTCAGACAGTCAATCAAGTAAAACGCGAAGACCGAAAATGACCTACCCACAAGGTCGCCTATTCTATTATACACAACGTGATGCATTAGAACACGCAAATTCAGTGATCAGCCCGACTTCGCTGCACACGTCAATGAAAGAAAGCTGCGTATCTTTGATGGTAAGCTTAGGTGCCATAGGCGTAGTATAGAACGTTTCTCTAGAAACCTCCGAAAGTCTTATTGAAAGACTGGGCCTCGCAACTTCTGGCCTTGCAGATCATTTGCTCTCACATACTGACCTCTCGTGCATTTGCGTGTGCATATCCTGGTATTCTTCGTTATATTTTTATTTGCAAAAATAATCGTCTATCTACAATGCTGAGGGTACCCTACCCCTGTCTAATGTATGGCTTATGAGCAAGATTTGTAGCGGCGTTTCCATTGAACTGAACTGAACTGAACACAGTAAGTCGATAAGGTCGTTTTAGATAATGGTAAAACTCTCAAATATTCGTTCTTCCTCTCTTTGAGTACAACTGCCCTTTCTTTTGGCTGATGAACTATGTGATCTTAAAAATATCGAAAATTTTTAGAGAGTTCTCACTCAAAAACTCTTTTCCCAAGCTGTATCCAGTATTTATAACACTGAAAGATGTCAACTAGCGAACGTTAAGATTCCATGGATTAGAAAACGCGAAGCTGGCCTTTGCTTTTTGCCCCGCCTTAACTGTAACCTCAATCTTCCGCGCATTAACCTTCTCACTCCGAGATATCGTTCCTATGCCATATGTAACTCCTTTATCTTCTGTCCGTCGCCTTGTTGTTCTACATCTAAACGCCCCCTTCCTTTTACATCCAGCATTCAGTATATTTAAGAGGAACAGGCTTGTGACTTTGATCTCCCTATTTGCACATGAAAATCTAAAAGGTCAACGACCGCATTAAGAAATTCCAGAAACAACTGAATGCAGGACGCTGGTCTTATGGTTACGAAGTCAATTATTCCGCTTGTTGATGTAACTTATGTCTCTCAAGCCGATATTCAGATGTCTCCGCCAGAACTTAGGTCATCGTCTAAGTTATGGGCCTCTAAGTTGAAATTGCGCCAGCACCTTACACCGGAAACTACAAGTTCGTCATTGATCGTTTCATTCCCGAACACTCAGCTTTTTGACCATGAGAATTGCCCTCCTGGGATTTAGTGGTAGAGCATACAAATATTCAAATGGAAACTCTCACCTAGACTTTAATAGTCGCCTGTTGTAATTAGCTACTACACCCACTGTCATTACTCCTCCCTTGCAGCGATGATTTTTGTGGTTTTTGAAGTTATCTCCTCATCTTCATCCAAAGCCATCTGCCGCTGATTGCATCGAAATCCTCTATAGTCGCAATCTGCTAGTAATTTCGTCATTCAGCAAACGAGTGTTATGGTCGCATTTCCCCACGCTTTGAGAACGCCCGTAGCCCTTAATGTCGCCTCCTTGGCTGAAATCTAAGTAAATTATAACTGATCGCGTCTCGTCACCTTGACTGTTGCTTCTGTTGTCAACACAAAATATTATGATGGCATCTGCAGTGAATAGCCTCATACGGTCTAGGAATTCCACCTAGAAGATATTCGTTTAGAACCCCTATACACTACCACATACAGGATGTTCCTGTCTGACACGCATATTTACCTTTCCTTGAGTGACAGTTTTCTATCCTTAAAAGGTAGTCGAATCGAATGTAATTCGTCTTTAATGGAAAAAGGGGGTTTTCACTGTTCGATAGCCGCTTTTCATGCCAGATTGCTTATTCTATGAGCACGAACTGAACACTGTATAGCGTCTGCCTACTCGCATTAAACTCGAAAATTTACTTTAACTTGCTGTAACAGGGGTATTGAATGACACAATTCATTAATTCCTTGTTAGAATATCTCTAAGAGAAGTAACCGGGACCATGTTGACGCAAACGCTCTAGACTGACTCCGTTTCGCTTGTAACCAAGCCCTTTCAGGATTCGGTCCGGGTTTTTGAATGTTAAACTTTCACTCCCATTGTCAGTCCCACCCTGGATCTACCAATACCTAACATCCCAGGCTTTCATTCCACCCTCATGATGAACCTCCTCTGTCCCTCCGCATTCTTTCGCGACGTAGATCTTTTTCCTGAGGATTCTTTTGAAAGTGACAGGTCCCTCAGGATTTTTCACGGCCTTGTTCGAACTTCACCATTGTTTTCAGAACTCCCGGTATGGAAGTTGCAATCATTATTTTCAAAAATGTCATATGGAAAATGCCAAATCGTCGGCGGAAATGATAAAATTCTATATTAACATAACACAATTTCTTACTTCTACTATATGTATAGCCGCTAGCGAAGACCACCACTGTCTGCATTGTCTGTATTGAGCCAGTTGACTCAATGTTAACAATCTTTTGATGATGCCCTCTGAGCGCCTAAGAACAACATTAGCACTTTTTCAAGCCGAAAATAAGAGGGAAGTTGTTTGAAATTGCACCCGGAACGTCGTTCACGTGAATAAGAGAAAGAGATAATCCGAGCAGGCACCCTTGCCGGCTCCCGCCATAAATCGACAATTCAGCTGATGAAACATATCTAATACAAATACGCAACGACTCATCCAGAAATAAAGCTTTTATTCCCGCAAACTCTATTGCCTGCTGGAAAAGATAATTAACGGTTCTGCGAATACTTAGTAGCTTAATGTGTAGTCGTAGTCCAATTCTAAAAGACTACTTTGATGTCAGTACGCTAGTCGGGCACTTAATTAAGGACCTAATCGCAAGCAAATATTCACAACAGACAATAACCAAAATTAAGGAAATCATATTAAAAACGAGAGACTAATTTAAGTTCATTTACGAAGCAGTCGGCGTGCCCATGATTTCACAAGCCAAACAAGAGGTATTTACAGAAGGTCCTTTTGCTGCCAACATACTGGACGATTTTTCAGTGAAGGTAAAAGTAGTTAATCAGTAGTCAATTCGCACTCGAATCATTTCCTTGCTACCAGTAAACCGACTGGGAATGGGACAATCAATGTTTAAAAAAGGGAATCTAAAAAATGAGGTGTATTGAATCTTATTTTACACATCGTCTGACTCCAGGCGAGATGGGAACCCTAGTTTATTTACTTGTATGTGATATTTCGATTAGAAATTGAGCTTGGAGTGGCATTTGCTCATGCTCCCTGCGTTTTGGAAATAGCCCGCATTAAGGAATGACTGCCATTGACTCTGTTTTTTTGCAGTTTTTCGCATAACACTGACTATTAACCTAGAAAAACAGATTGTATCACGAGGCCATACTTTAAGTTGACTGTTTCCTGCACTCGGACTTTGAACTGTAACGGTAGGGGTCGTCTCGTGAATCTCGTCTTACCCTATGCCCTTCCACCACACTTTTTGCCTCGACCTCTCATATTTTATTCTGAAAGTGACAAACCGGAAAATCAGGTTCCAGTTTATTGCATGATAACAATGGCGATTTAAACTGACTCGTTTATTCAATCCAGCTAGCAAAAGCTCGTCTACAAGTTGTTATTTTTAAACAACAGCGTTTCACTGACCCGTAATTTACTCAAATTCCTTCTCCAAATGATAGATGGACTGTTTTGCCGAGTAAATACACTATGATCAAGAAGAGTGATGCCATGTGGCGAAAGAAACCTGATATCAGGGGGCATTTAGTAGGGGTGTAGAAAAGTAGATAATCCTAACTTTTTTCATTTATAAGAGGTGTAACGGGGATAATTTCTTGTTTACTCTGTGTCCTCAATTACTTCCCACTTCTTTCGCATTCATCGCCTTTCGCATCCGCCGTTCGAGTCACTTTTTGTCTGCCTCTCGAGAATAACCACTGTAAATTGTGATCAGGAAGCCTTCCCTCAAAAACTTTATAATTTTTGCAGGAGTTTTTCGCTCCTTGTAATTTAAAAGCAGTAGAATACTCTTATGGAGCGTCATCTTTGACATCCGCTGGACTCTTGTCGTCCAGTAATCGTATATGTAGCATCCACAAGGACGTGTTGATTACAATTTAGAACTTGCCTTTCGCCCGCTTTTCGGGTCTACTGAGAATAACATCAAACTCGGCTCAAGATGACCGTAAAAACAATTTGTGAAGTGGCGACCCCAATTGAGCGGGCCGCAAAGTCCGCTGACACCAGAAAGCCACCAAATTTATTCGCGGATGCACCTGTTTAGTATTCACTCTGCGGCGCGTGCTTGAAGTCCGCCTTGGCTACCAACAATTAACAGCTGTCCGTTTTCTTGACTTCGGCACTTTCTTCTATTTCTTTTATGATGAGCATTTGTGACTTATAATAGGGCTGGCTAGTATTTCGACGTGAGCAAGCGTTTCTATCGCTTCACTATCACACGACTTCTTGCACGCAAAACTGGTTTCAATTCGTTCGATATTCGGTGTGGCGTTCGACAGGGTGGTTTTCTCTCACCCATGCTGCTCAACAACATCACGGACTGGATTTTCGGAATGACTTTGCGCGACTTTGACAGTATAAAGTTTGTACCAGGACACTGGCTGACCGATCACTGTTACGCCGTCAGTATTCATCAGCCAGCACCAAGCACCAAGAAAATTAAACATTTTCGAGCTGCCTCTTTCGGTAAGAAGGAACACCTCTCAGAGTTTATGCCTTTCATATTAAAGAAGTAGACAATTCCGAATTCTTCGGACAAGACGGCAAAAAATACGGAATCGTCCCCTGGATCTTTTCTCATACCAGGCTTACCGCGATCCTTAGAAAGCTTCTGTGGACTCATTGCGATATCCACATCACCAGCAAGATCCGCGTGAATAGGACATCCATCCAGTCAATCCTCTGATAATAATATTGGCGCTGGGCTGTGCGAGTGGATGACAAGCGACGACCAGAGGCGTCTGATCGCCCTTGATTGATGATGCTTCCCCCATCTAAGTACACCTTCGTCTCCGATGATGCGGTACGCACTCGACGCGACAACGTCAAGAGGAAATATCAAGTCGTCTGGGAAAGAAGATAGAGCTATCCTAAACCACTGGGGCAGCGCCTGTTAGCAACAGCAGAGGCGACCGCCATCAGGTTGTGAAAACCGATCTTGTGCGCACAGAAGAACCATGTTCAGGCTCCGCGCCTACAGTGGTCGAGGGTAGACGAACGCTACAACTCTCCCGTGCCCTTCTGCTCTCACCCTGACACTGACTGCTATAACCCCCCCCCCCCCACGTTCCCACACCCAGCCTGTGTCTTAAGGCGAACTTTAATCGATTTATCTTATCACTGACGTGTTTGTACTTCTGCCCCCCTTTCCCATATAGTTGTACTGGCCCGACGAGAATTTATCGAAAGCTACGTATTCTCGCCACCGCGTCTTCAGATTGAAATGTGTTTGACACGGTTTTCGCCTTCTATTTCGTGAGCTAAGTGTCTCTGTCCTTGATCTGGCGTCTATGCTCACCTGAGGACGTCGAAGAAGTGATTACCTTAAAACTTGGCTGGACCTTGTCCGTCAAGACATTGAGGGGCTCCTGAACCTTCAGTGTCCAGTCTCCATCGCTGGAGGAGAGAGTGCATCGGGCCCCTTATATGCTCTGTTACGGATCGTCATGCATGGAAAGACGCAAAACTAAAAATCGTCAAAGTTTATTAGTTCAGGCGTGGTCGCAGCTGCACCTGACACGACTAGTCCAAGTTGTCGACAGGGTCCATGTAGGAGAGTGAGTGACACGTATCTATAGGGAGAGAGAAAGAGAGAATACGATGTGGTAACTGTTGTTAAATTCTGAGGTATTCTTGTTTCATGTCAAATGGCCTAAATGCACACATCAGCCATCATTTTCTGTTTGTTCCGTAATAAAGGCAATTGGCTCCACCGGAGAACCCGCGTCAACGACCAACCCTGTAGTTTCATCTGCGTTCTAATGTGACAAATTTTCTCCTGTATTTTTTTCCTAAACTTCTCGAAACAAATCTTCTGCAGGTGGACTCACTATTTGTTTCCGTGGGTCTTTTTGCTTCGCAGCAATCTCAAGCGATCAAGTGCGAACGACGAAAAAGTCGCCAGTGGACCCTGCCTGCTAATATTGTCTGTCAGGCGTCCGGTTCTGTGAATATTACGCACCGTGTGCCCTATGCCATGGGGACGGTGAAATGCAGCAGAAAACCACTGCCGCTGGAAGCCAATCGTTCCGGCAGCGACTGTCGCCGGCGTCCGCATTACGAAGTGGTTCATGGTATCCAGACGGAAGGCGATAGCAGAATTCGTGAGTCGTGCTTAGAGCGTAGTGCCTTCCTAAGGGCATGATCAAAAACATTCATGCCCTCGATTTTGACCCTACGCAGCGTACGGGAGCCTAGCACTGGGCCGACCCAACGTGCATGGTTAAATGTGTCGTCGCCAGTATGGCCATCATTGGAGTCCGAGGTAACCAAATGTCTCATACGTTGCCAAAAGCAGGTGTTTCTGGTGGCCAGTCTGTTCAGAGCAGCGAAGTTGGCAGACTTTCCATCTACGCAAAAGTTTCTGTGTATATCAAATATGTATCCCATTCCCCTCGTCAATAAGGTCACGACAGGACACATCCGTAAATTTTCCAGACCCTTTTCTCTGTATCCCAATCCCCCATTGAGGCGTAGACCTACACAGCAGCCGCGAAGATTCGCAAACGATCCCGGCTACCCACGTATGCGTTAAGTCTTTGGTCTGGTCGTTCGGAGCATTTTCAACACCATGTCGACCAAAGCTGTCCGTGTCACCGCTGTAGTAGAGATGAAAGCGTTGCTTAATACCTTGCCGCTGAATATTGCTCGAAGTAGAATCTAACAAACTCCCCTCGTGGGCAGGCGACGTCCATGTTGTGCTGTATCGACCCTCTCATACTTTGGTCGTCTGTTGACAATACAGCAGTGCCACTGCTGGTCCGCAGTTGCGTACTTGTCAGGCCTGATAGCTTACCTATTTGGCAGCTAACCATCAGTGATGACTATTGCACTGTTCGTTTCTGTCACATGTACTTTATGGACATCAACCAGGCTAACGGCCGGACTCCATCTTCCCAAACCGCAATGACCGGTCATCCGGCACTATTGCTCCTTAATTGAATGCCTTCTAACTGCACATGCCTTTGTTTATTTGCAGCTAACTGTCGATATTGATGCCTGACAAAACTGTTTACCTAGGGGACGGTTTTTTTGTTTTCCTCTAGATGCTTGTGCCAAAAGAGGAGTTCTTCGCCACTGACAACAGACACGAGGTAATTTGCCATTTTCATTCTAGTCTTTACTTGCAATGCTTTACATGCACGACTCCACCGCGTCTGTAGCAGCAGAATTGATATTACCTTTAACGATCCGAGTGGTCGCAATTATATCTTATTTTGGAGTAGGCTATGAAAACGAGAAGACGAGCGTTGACGAACGGGGCTGTTTAATGGAGGTTAAGATTTTGCGTTGGATGGCCTGTCGATAACTCGGCAGTCTTTGAAGGTGTAGTGGTAACTTGCCTGCGCATTTCGCAGTATCCGCCTCATTTTCTTCCCATATTCCAGTGACAAGACTGAGTGAGTGTCGAAGCCAGGTCTACGCGGGCAGCGCACGTGCCAATCTCTGGTTCAATATGATCGGATTTTCAAAGGAAATGTCCGGAGCACTCATTCAGCGCAGTTCCCATATGGTCACGTGAAGGGATAGTCGTTACAGCCTGATCATCTCTAGCGTTCAGGGTCGTGACTAATAGTGTGTTTGGTTGTTTATAGTGCGGAAAGTAAGTGTTTTCTCGACCTCGCCCGTCCGACTCAAGTTTAGTTGGAATTCGATTGACCGCAAAGAATAACATTAAATGAAACCACCGTCTAACCTCCGTCTAACTCGGGCTTAGATCTCACAGACTGTCCCGATTGTTGTTTACTGACAAAGCATCATCCTCTAATTTTTTGTGGGGCGGGTTATTCCCATCAGAATAATTTCAACTGCATTTTTATTGATTTTCGCGAAAATGGATTTAATGTTAATCGGAACTGTCAAAACACCGTCTGCATACAATTAGTCGGATAGCGCGCAGTTTTAATGTCTGACTGCAAGCCTTAGTATTCCTAGTGCAGTGTTTTATTTCGTCTAGTAGGGCTATGGTGTCATTATATTGCATAGGCACGCATAACAAGTGCAAAAGGGGAACTTGTGGCAGCAGAGTCTACTATGTCCGAGTTGTATTAAGCACCCCATTCAGTTGGCATAAGTTTGACTTGCACCTGGGCGCCGCCAACCGTAGTGTCTGATGACCCAAATATGGCTTTAGTCTAAACAAGTCCCACAAATCGTTTAACTGTCATCGTTGACTATGCTCAAAGGTAGATTATTTGAAGCTGCCGGAGTGCTTGCTGATTTTTTTTAGTATTGTTACCCAGACGAGGACGTTCTTTGGTTGGAAGCCGACATTGGAAGCTTATTTCCATCCAAGCTTTTGAAAGTCCTCGTTGTTCAAATACTTTCTCAAATGGCATGCTTTTAGTTGATACCCTAGCTTCAGCACTTGCCGTACAGATTTTAGAAGGCTCTCTACCTCTGCTTGTTATTCTGCCTAGCTGCTGAAGCGGCTGCTGGTGGGACGGGGGACCGAGCCCCAAGTCACAGCGGGATAAGTGCGTCCCCTTACGTGATAGTTGCGCGCTCCCTCGACTATTGTGGACAACTACTATTACATTGATCAAAAATTCACTTACGCTTCCCAAACCTCAGTAAGTATGCATCGTCACAGCGAATACCGTGCCTTATTCGAGTCAGAAGACCTCACTTGCACAACTATCAACACTGCAGGCACGAAAATTTTCATTATCATGTTTCACACCGCCAAAAATGTCTTTTCTGCAGCAGCTCCTCCTTAGAAAGTAGGAGTAACATTCAGTGATCACGGTTTTTGCATTTCTCCTTTTGCAAGTTGATTGCGGTCGCCTCATATGAGTTCACTTTGCCTTTCTGTCCTGGCCCTGTATCGCAATCATGAGGCCATTGAAAGCGGACCGGGTATTCTCACCGATGTTATCGATCACCCACTGTTATTAAACATACTACTCGTCATTACTAAGTACGGCGTATTTTGCTCATGTTTGCTGTTACAGCACGGATGCCCAGGCACCTTTACTGTGCCTGTCATTAGTGGACTTGCTGTCAGTTGGGACTCATATTTTCCTAAATTATTCTCATTTTACCTAGGACTGCTACTATACCGTCGGCGGTCGTATCTTGTTTCCGGGAGACAGCATCCCCTCTGATGTGTCCCATGTGGAAAAACACTTTCGCCTCCGCGGCGGCAAGGGCGGTTTCGGCTCAATGTTGCGAGCCATTGGCAACCAGATTGAGAAGACAACGAATCGCGAAATGTGTCGTGACCTCAGCGGCCGACGGATGCGCGACGTGAACGCTGAGGAGAAGTTGAAGCAGTGGTACGCCAAGGCGAGCGAGCGTGAGAGGGAAAAGGTCGATCGTTATTTGGAGCGTCAAAAACGTAGGCGAGAGACTTTGGAAAAGGGACCTCTCTATGATCACAAGTTTGATGACCCTGAATATTTCAAGAAGAAAGCCAAGATTTCGGACGAGTTGCAGAGTGCAGTCAATGATGGTTGGTCGTACCCTTTATCACCGCACGGGCTATTTCACGGACAACTTACTTTATCATCCTCGTATTTACTTTTCAGCATTGGAAAAGGTAGTCGCCAATGCAAAAGCCTCAACCACAAGTGAACCTGGACCCTCCAGCGCACCGAAACGACAGCGTCTGTGGATCGAACATCTGGACGGTGATTCACTGTCTTCGGACGACACTGACGATTCCTCATCCTCTGCCGAGGTATCCCCGGACTCGGAGTCGGCTGTGGTCACCTCCTGCAGCGAGACTGTTGGTGAAGACACCTCGAAAGCAATTTTGGAAGCTTCCACCACATCCACCCCGGTGGTTAAGGACGGTTAGTTAGCCTCCAGACCGCATTGCCGTCACGATCCTTACTGATAAACCACGCCTACTCTCACTTTATAAGTAGACATGTCATCGATATTCACACTCCGAACTCTTATTCCGGGCCAGACAAGACTTAAATGTGCGAACTCGCACGGATATACAGATGACAGGATGCGTACGCTTGGCTATTATGTTTCGACCGCGACATACTGTGGAGAGCATTATCTGTCTCATAGGACCTCAAGTTGGAGTCCTGCGCTCGACTTCACCCTGATGACGCGTACCAACTAGTGTCAAAAGGCAGTTATTATTCATACAATAGTAGGCGCACATCGATCCACTGGCCAACTAGGACAACCTAGTCTTTATTGTGTGGCAGAGGACACCTGAAGGACACCACCTACCAGACCAATTAATCGATGTGCGCCTTCGAACTGCGGTGACGGACGATGCCAGGCAGTAAAGCACCAAGAAACTCCAATTTTATGAAGGGCTTCCAACCCATCTGTCAGATCCCATCTGTTAGCCATCTGTGCTGTGTACATGTTTGTGCCCCTGGTCCTAGATTGTGATCAGGGCTATAATTGACTAACCGAGAATGGAAAAGTTCGTGACGTCTCTGTGGCAGCCACATTTGCCAAAATTGTTATCCTTTGATATTTTGGCAGATTTTGAATAATTCATATTGACCCAACTGTGAAAAACTCGGCGCCTCGGTGGGATTCGAACCCACGCAGTAAGGGGGAAGGCTTTAGTACAGCCAACGCTCTAACCACCTGAGCTACGAGGCTGTACTAAAGCCTTCCCCCTTACTGCGTGGGTTCGAATCCCACCTTGGCGCCGAGTTTTTCACAGTTGGGTCAATATGAAAAATTGTTACCGTTATTTAACGAAACTGTGTTTCGGTGTTCTGAGCCAGCTGTTGACTTTCTCCCCTCGAGGCATCTGTCATTTTGTGTTGTGAGGATTCTTCTGGTGAACCCCATAACTTATATGACCCAGTGGCACTAGTGTTTTCCGATGCGGAACTCGTTGCATTCTTCCCTGTACAATTTCAAATGCGTGTGTCGAACTGCGAACTGCACTTGGTAGATATTGTAGCGAATTCTCTTTCGCTTGAGACGCTCCCAGATTTTGGTGTTATTAGAATTTCAAGAGAACAGTCTGCCTTTTCCATACCTAACTTTTGCACTTTCCAATCTAGAGAAAACTGAGAAAACCCCCGAGGAAATGACCTCCTCTTCCACAGTCAATCCAACTCCTGCGTCCGAACCGGATCCGGTCCCTAGTCGACCCATCGTGCCCGGCCTCACGGAAGATGAACTCTCAGCGGCCGGCTCTGCCAGCGAACTGGAATCCCATGGGCTTGAGTGCCTAAAGCAGTCCCTTATTGACCGTGGTCTGAAGTGTGGAGGATCTCTGAAGGAGCGTGCAGTGCGCCTTTTCAGCGTTCGTAATATGGCACCCGCGGACTACCCTGCCAAGTTAAAAGCCAAGCCCTCCAAATAAATATCGACTTTGTTCACCTAGGTCTGCGTCCTCTCTTATTATTTTATTTGGGGGTGGGGGGTGTTTTCCGTTTGTTTGAAAAAGCATTGTCGATGGCCTGTCATCGCCAGCAGTCGATGCTTGTGTCATCTTTAAAAGGTATTTTACTAGATGGGATGACTTCCAGGCGAACCGGACTGTGTCGTCGTTTCTTGAGTCGATGTCAGTCGTCGTTGAGCTACCGAGTTCTAGTCTCCTGTCTTTGGGGGAACTGTATTCACGCCTCCTATGTTAGCATTTGCAGACAGCTCACCCTGTCATTCCCTAATATTGCAAAGTGGCTACTGAAGTAAGTTAAGTAGGCTTTTTGTTTTAAATGAAATTGTTTCCAGGACTACTCGGGTCTGGTTCGGGCGCCGGTGCCGCCTTGCATTAATTCATGATCTTCGAGCCATATGAGCACCTCGAAAACATGAAAAGACAATCAGTACGATGTTCTGACCGGGCTGTGTTTCTCCAACGCACCTTTTGACGGCTTCGGGGGACATGTCAAACACTATTTTGAGACACCTGTCGAGACAAAACTACAAGGATAGAACATTCGCAAATTCAGCCAGTAGTGAGACAAGGAGGATTTATGACAGCCATGCGTAGCTTGTTTTCATAGTGCCTATTTTTGTCAACTGCAGTAGCTGGGCTGCGCGGGTAGAATCAACAACCCTTCCCAGAACGTCCTGGTCTGTCAATAACGTACACGACCTGCACTGCTTTGCCCGTAACTATCCTCCTCAATCGTTGTTCTGTGGAGTTTTTTTGTCTATCTCAACGCGGGGGCTCGATCTGCAGCTAGCTTCGACGCCTGATTTTGGATTTAGGTGTGCAATATCCGCATTTCAGTCGGACTTAGTCAACTGTTGCAGCCCTACCTCCCCCCCCCTCCCATTGGTCCGTTGTTGTCTTGCCGTCTGATTGGAGAGTTCACTATCTTCGTGAATTAGTACGTGACACCACTGTCTATTTCAGTTTGTTGTTAGGTTTGGATACGCGGACGGGTGTATTTTGCTGCAAATTACCAACGCGTGTTTTCCAGGGGGCTATCTGTACGCGGTAGTGACACGGAGGTGCGCATCCGAATCTCCTAACCTACGTGTGATGCACACGCGCGGACCCTCGTCTGGGGCAATTCAAGATCGGTGTCAGATTTTCGGCGGTTAGAGAGGTAAGATATGACGCTAAAAGTGGAGAGTTCGGTTGACTGAGAAGCACTAAGATCAGAGGCTCAGACAGACCCCAGATCAGGGATGACAGTCTGTGCCGATTAGGTGGAACATAACTTCGCTCATGACGACAGCTAGACGGCGGTTGAAGATGAGTACGCAGAACAAGGTAGCAACAAGACGACTGACGAGTAGGTCGCAATCAATTGACAGTCCGTCTTACATGTGGACGGCTGGAACGGCGGTTTTGCGGGGGATCGGTTGGCTAGAAGGTCAAAGAATGAAAGTTGTGTCACGACGTCTAGCAGACTTTGTGATGAGACTGTCCACTGTTCTTCCGCGATTGACCAAACCGAATAATGTATACGGTAAGGTGAGAAACCCAGCGTCTGGTGGTGGCCTTATCAGCTTCAGTTACCTTAACTCGGCGGCAGCTTTTACCTTAGTCCACTCCAAGATTTGAAAATGTAGCCCCTGCAATTCGTCCAAATTCGACGCAGATCCTATCGGCCGAAGTTAAGGTAGAGTTTGGCTAGCAATCGAGTCATCGCAAAACAGATACTAATCGATAACGTCCAGGCGAGGTCTTAGCGATCTCAGTATAAACCGCCTTACCTTAGGCGTCATTTCCAGATCTTTGAAAGCGACTCCCTCAACACCTGCACCATCTGAAATCTCCTCCAATGTGGGCGTTTAGTAAATCAAATGCAAAGATATGTCAGATATATTCATCGGTGTGGAACTGGTCAATGGACTGTACCGACAACACAAGGCCCAAGCATAACTACAGAGCTTCGGAATCTCGAAATGAACAAAGCCCACCGCGCTTACGTGTTGTTCGTTACTTTGAACAGGCTACTTGGGTTCCTGCCTCTCCATCTCGTCTGTTGACTGGAAGTATGAAGTCCAAACCGACTGGCCATTACGATTTCTAGTCTTCTGGTCAAAGTGAACAGTGTTCAGCACCGAGAGACCCAACGGCTTGGCCATCTTCCTGGGATGTCAATCGTCAGGAAAATTGGTGGATGCATTGCTCAGTCCGACAAGTCGTCTTGAGCAGAAGAACAAGAGAATGGATGGGTGATCTATGTCTCCTCCCGAAGGTAACAGGCGTGTCGGGATCGCACTATTGGCTTCGATTGTGAGTCTTTGAACCGCAAAGACCAGACAAAAAGGTTTAAATGGATCGTCCAACCTCATCGACGGGTAACTAAATGCTTCCTTTGGTTGGATGAGTGGAAAACCTGCAAGGTCATCCACTCAAATATGTGTGACCGACGCCAAACTGTACGCACCGAAGTTCTCCGACAGAATGCTTAAAGCTTGAAAATGTCTGTCTGCACATATCGTTATGTCCACATCTTACTTACTTGTACTTGATACGGTTGCGATCATGCCTGATCTAGCCGGCCTCGATGATGTCCCGGACTGTACCTCTCCACGCGTAACGATCCGCGGCAGCAGACCTGGATAGCTCAACCGATTCCCTTCGCCAACGACGGCCAAAACTTTTAAGAGGAAGCTGAATCAGTACGCCACTACACCTAATGCTGCCCGATCGATATCGTCTTAACGCTTGATGCTAACAATATATTACCATTATAACGTTACTGTTTATGTTTCAATAGCTTTTGTTTGTAATTTTATTATTACCTGAAACACGTACACAATGACATTCACTCCGGCGCCTTCACGTAATTGAAACAGTATCAGTATCAGTATCAGTATATTTCAGGGAAAGTAGGTGTGTACCTTTGAAATCCCTATTGGTTACATGCAGAGCATATATATGGAGGAAATGGAAAGGAAGTAACATGAAAGAAATGCGAGGGGAATAGCAAAAACTGTACAGATGAACACAGAATGTCATGCGTTAACAGAGTTTAGAGGCACATTAACTTGCTTTGTTGGTCAAAATACAGCGAACAGTTGAGGCACACTTAAGACACGGGAAAAGAAGTAAAATTGTTTAGTCTACAGGCATCGTGGTGAATGCGAACAGCGGTGTGCGACGTGGCCCGGGCTTAATAAATGACATAAACCTATATTACTTAAATGTTTGTAGTAGCATCGTTATAGCACTAAACTGTCCGCGTTGACGGTCAAGGTGGCCGTAGTCCGGCGTTATTGTGGTGCGCGCTACAATGCTGATCTAGTCTCCATTTAAAAGTATCTACCGAGCCTGACATAACAACATCCTCAGGCAAGGCGTTCCAAGCTGCAACCACTCTGTTGGAGAAGAAGAACTTTCGGGTGTCTAGCCGGACACCAGCCACACGCAGTTTGAGTGGATGGCCTCTCAGGTTAGTCGTAGTCGCCAACTCGAAGAAGTCTCCAAACGCGAGGCAGCAGCCCTGATTGCGCACGATGCGGAAAGCTTGTATCAGGTCCCCACGTAGCTGTCTGTAACTCAAAGGAAAGAGGTCAAGATTAGCTAATCGTGTTTCGTAGGGTAGTGACCACTGCCCAGATACAAGTTTCGTTGCTCGCCGTTGAACTTTTTCGAGTATGCCCAAGTCTTTAGCGGTCCAGGGTCGCCATGCTTGGATAGCAAACTCCAGATGCGGTCGCACAAAAGTTTGAAAGACCTTGGCGAAGCAGTCTTCATCAAAGGAGGAGAACGCCCGTTTGACAAGGTATAGCATGGACATCGCCGAATTGGCCACCTTTGAACATTGCAGCGAAGGCTTAAGCGAGGTTGTGATCCATACGCCCAAGTCCTTCTGGGCGTCGACTTCTTGCAGTGGTTTGCCAGTCAGACGGTAGACCGTGTGGTTAGGGGAACTGGTTCTGCCGACGCGTAGGAAAGTACACTTGTTTACGTTGAACGGTAGAAGCCAGTCTTTCGACCATTGCTCGAGGTGGTCCAGATTTGTCTGCAGTCGCGCCTCGTCAACTTCGCTTCGTATGGTACTCCAGATCTTTATGTCATCAGCAAACATCGCGTAATCGCAATTCAGTTCGTTTGCGCAGTCATTGACGTATACGAGGAACAGCGTAGGGCCAAGAACAGAGCCTTGGGGAACACCACTCTTAACGGCAACCTCGGCAGATTGTTGGTCACCGACGTGGACGGCTTGAGAGCGGCCGATTAAAAAGCTCCGAATTTACATCAGAAGCTTACGCCGCACTCCTGCACGGCTAAGTTTGTATAGAAGGCGGTGATGAGGCACACTATCGAAGGCCTTTTTAAAGTCGATATAGATGACATGCACCATATCTCCTCTATCAACAGCCCTAGTCCAGTGTTCCAGACAGTAGAGCAGGTTTGTCACACAGGATCTGCCTTTTCGGAATCCATGCAGAGAATCAGAAAGCAAATGGTTTTGTTCAAGGAACTGCATTAGTTGTTGCTTTATTATCTTCTCCACAATCTTACAGCAAATGGAGGTGAGGCTGACCGGTCTGTAATTGTTCGCAGAGACCCGACTTCCGCCCTTGTACAGCGGCGTAATCCACGCCGACTTCCAGTTGGGTGGCAGATATCCGGTCTCGAAGGATGTATGGAAAAGCATGGAGAGTGGCTTAGACAACTCACCGGCGAGTTCCTTCAAAATCTTCGCCGGAATCTCATCGGGACCTGGTGATTTGGATTCTTTTAGCCTCAGCAACTCCGTCAGAACCATACCCTCAGTGAACTGGACGGTCTCTATAATTGGGGTGTCTTCGAAGGATTGAGGGGCCGACGGGTTGAATTCTGTTTCGCTACTAAAAACAGACCGAAAAAATTCTGAAAGGTGATCAGCTTTCGCCCTGTCGTCAGTGAGATGTTCGCCTTCAGCAGTCCTTATCAGGGGTATTGGGTCCTTGTTCCGCGTGCACTGCCTAATGTAACCGTAGAATATTTTAGGGTTCTCCGCGGCACGGTTAAGCAGATCCCGTTCGAATTCTTTTCTGGTTTTGAGGATAAGACCCTTGACTCGATTTCTTTGAATTTTGTACGCGCATATAGATGTGGGGCTCCTGTCAGAAAGCAATTTTTTTCCACAGCCGTCGTTTTTTATTCACTTCATTCTTCAAGGCTTGCGTAAGCCATCGAGGTCTGTTAGTTAACCTCTTCCGTGAAAGCGGACAGTGGTTTACGATCAGCTCGTGCAGAATTTCTCGGAACCGTTGCCAGTCTTCGAGTATGCTCCCAACAAATATGGACTCCCAATCAATGCGTAAAATTTCAGCCCTCATTTGATCGAAATCCCCGCGCCAAAGGTTTCTTCTAACTGCCCCGGGTTTCTTGGGCATGGAAAAAAGCGAGTAATCCCATAGAAGAACGACGTGGTCACTTTTACCTAAGGGGGGTAGGCATGACACCTCATCAATGCTGTCCTGTGACTTCGTAAGGACAAGATCAAGGCAGTTGGCTTGTTGGCCTTCGCGTACTCTAGTTGGTAACATGACGTGTTGAGTGGGAAATAGCTTCAGTGCCGTGTTCAGAAAACTCCAATCGAAGGTCTGTTCTGAGCTATTTGCATGGGTTGAGCTCCAGTCAATATGGGGCGCGTTAAAGTCGCCCATGATTAGGATATCCGGCCGCGTAGCGAACTTTTCGAGCTCCTCCAGCAGGCGAGCGTCGGCCATGTTGTCCCGTCTCGGCGGTCGATAAACTGTCA